TCAATAATTCCAAAATTACTGACGAACTAGAGATTTAGTGGTTATGACATTTTTATCAATAATCCTAATTCGGTTAAATTAGTTTCCAAACAAAAATTATTACATTTGAGAGCATACAACACATACACACGCACACACACACACATGTATATGTGTATATTCCCGTTAAATACCAGTAAGAATCATGACAAATACCCTCCCGTTTCAAATGACACCGTATTATGTATCCTCAGGGTACGAAGCGTTCGAAGTGGAAATCCTTAAACCACTAATCATTCATCTTCATAAGTACAAAGAAGTCGTATTTAATGTAAATAATAGCTAACAATTAACTAGTCAGTCTGCGTCAATCACCGTTGCTGGACTGTTATTTATGTTTACACGAAAATAGATCATAATATAATATATTTAAAGGTACGTTTCCGTGTAGCATTCCTTACGGTAAACTTCGGATTTAAGCTACTGGTATTTTTAATGATAATCATAATATAACGAACAGATACATAAAATTATATAATCTATGCTGAAATGAATATTCTTCTGACGTTTAAATGACAGCTATTTTTTTTTTAATTTTTGGCACTAATGAGTTCAAAGCTCGTGATTTGCATGTATATTAAATCTATTAATTTTACACAATCCGAACAGGTTGTATATCCAAACACCGGTAAAAAAAATAATTACAAATAAGTAACGTTAATTAATGTATTCATCTTCAATATTGACAACATAAATAAAAACTAATCCGTGTAATGAATCTTAAATAAACGGATCTATTAAATTTAAATTAATTTTCTTTGTATTACAACGGTTAGGTATTTAGATAATCAATTTCTGAATCAGATACCTATTGAGATACTTAAAATAATCGAAGTACCGTGCCACAAACGGTAGCTGTGCATCAATTATAATCATTGACATCAATCCATCTAGCAGCCACGGTTCCTGGAATAATACCTAATGGCTCTCTGAATACTGACATTAACTTGTTCTTGTTCTACATCTGTAATGAAATTGAAATACGTGGTCTATTAAACAAAGTAGACATTTCATATAAATCGTACAACAGTAGATATGGAATTCCAACGAGCATTTTCGATCTACTTTATATTTTCAATATTCTGAACATATTTATCGTAATTTCAATCATCTTTAATAAATGAGAGAGTCTGGAAATATGCAGATTTAGATGGCTTGTAATTAACATAAGCAAAGCCGCGGGCGATACGTTGCTAAAATAATTTTGAGTCATTTAAAGATGAGATAAATATTAGTTAACAATTATACATGTAATAACTTAACTAATATGTTCGTACAACTAATGGTCATGTTTAAAAAGCACTCTTCATAGAATTTCACTAAAATATTCAAAGTTATTCACAAACGGAACTAAAAGCGAGTTCCGCATATTTAAACATTTAAAATGTATAATTATTACTAGGTTTAACAACTTCAGATAGAACGAGAACCCAACCGAACCGACTCTCGTTATTTCTTGAAACTAACTAAGCCCTACAAACATAAATCTACGTTACAATGCTTTTCTATTAGCGTAACCGTCTCTTCTAAATTAATTCTTTAGTTTATACGTTTCTATTGCTAATAATCTGGCCCTATGCACTTTGGGCCACAAATTGCCGCTTCTCTGTGTAGCCAATACTCGGCAACGACAAGCAGTAAAAACTTAAATGAAAACTCTGTGGTCTTTGTTAAATACGTAGCTGTCTGCTTGGTAACAATGGCTCGTACGTATAACCCTTCGGTGACTGTGAAAACTGTATTGATACTCTTTCCCGCGTCACAAAAGCTGTTAAACAAGGAAAACAAGCCGTGCGAAACTGGCTGCGATATATCACAATACATCAAGCTTATACTCAAATCTAATAAATAGATTTTGATAAATGATTGTCTGTGTATCATTGAACGGGCCTTGGCCTGGGAGGTCGGACCACCGCTGAGTGACTACGTCAATGTCATAGCACCGTGAAACATTGTCACTTCAATAATATCTTAAACCGTTTCCATTTTAGAGGCTTGTTTGTTCGTGGGAGCAAACACTACCAATGCTTGAACATGGAAACAGATTTTGGTTGTGTCAACAGTAGTGGACGCGTGCCGTCTAACCATATGGTGTAATAATATTTTATTGTGGGACATAAACGATCTGTTGTTTCGTGATTGTAAACATTCAATAAGCATTTTGATATTAGATAATATTTTTTTAATCATCACTCAATTAAAGTACCTACTGTTATTGGTTTAATGTTTACTGTTCACTTTGTTGAACGTAGGAAACATTTTAGATTATACCTAAGTGTATTATTACACAAACATAATAATTAAGGAATAATCATTTTATAGAAAAATATTTCATCGATTAAAATATCATATTTCGTTCTTTAATAACTGTTTATAAATAGTATCTTGTGTTATTGTTAACACCGCGATCCGGATGCCTATTAAATAACTTTTTGTTTATCGACAATGCATTATATTGTAAACTAAGCCTACGTTTTCTCATCAATTTTCTAAGGTTATCTTGGCCAAGTAATAATGTGAACTAAGTGAAATCGAACAAAACACAATGAATTTTTGCAATACCGTGTGAGCTTTCACTGAACCATTATTTTATCGGAACTCATTTCATACTTCTTATACATTCAGATGTCACTGGCGTAATTATATTATTTTGTATGTCACGTTGATTTGTCAAGAATCTTTTTTAATGAACTAGTAGACCTGGCGAACTTCGTATCGCCTTATAATCAAGAAATAACTATTGCATACGATTTTTTATTTATATTTTTGGAGTTTACCTATTAAAGCTATAAATCTCCGTGTTTTGAAGTGCGACAGAATGATTGACATATTAGTTAGTTGTCAAATCTAATGTCAAAAAAAACGTTTGTATGGGAAATAGAAAAGGGCTGTTTTTATGGTTTTCCCAGTAATGAATCAATTTTTTTCAGCTTTTATACCTTCCCTGAACCTCCACGAACATTTCAAGACTAAGATAAGATAAATCCGTTCAGCTGTTCTCGAGTTTTAGCGAGACTAAGGAACAGCAATCCATTTTTATATATATAGAAGATTACATATAGTACGAAAATTGTGTTTCATATTTGACTTCGCAGATGTATTTCTGCTATTTGTTTAAGAACACGCAAAAAGCATCTTATTTAATTTACAATGGAGAATATAATAATTTATTACCAATAAATTTATTTGCTTCTTTGACATGTCAAGTTGTGACAGAAGGTTCTGTTTATATATTATTAGGTAATAACATTAATTCTTCCGGAGATAAAACATAAAGCAATGTTTTAATTCAATTCACAGTAGAGTTATGAATGATAAACATAACTGTTGTGGTTTAAATGAATTACAAGTTTATACAAATTACTATTTACGGATTTTAAACATTTGTGCCTCACTAGAATTATGTGTGTATCAATTATGGGTCTTTAAGTCGAAGAGATATAAGATTCTGAATTTTTGTGCCATTGAAATACTTCATTTCATAAGATGTTTTTTATTTACTGTTAAAAACAAGTATTACCTAAAATCTTTTTAGAATACTTTAAATGAAATCCCTTACAAACTAAAAGGAACAAATAATAATATTTTTTTATTAATATTTTTGTAATTAAGTTTCCATTAAACGAGCTTATTGTATTTGTGTACTACCTATACGGGAGAGGTTTATTTGTGATCACTATTTGTACAGGAGAGAAAAGTAAATGAAAAATTGCCAAAGATTTCTAAGCCTTGTCTGTCTCGTAAACTCTTTTATTATTATGTTTCCCAGAAAACATTTCATATAGTTATTTCATGTACGAAACTTTAAGCAAATATTAAACTGGAATTATTAGAAAATAATTTTATTTTCACTTGTTACTTACTGTTTTTGGTAAAACCAAAGAAAACCGTTAGATTATACCGAATATAAGACTTGATTAAAGTTGCTACTAAAAAAATGTGGTTACTTTGTAAATTCTTTAAGTAAATACGCGTCAGAATATGTATTGGTATCGAAAGTCAACATAAAAGACATAAGAACTCAATTCCAAATTGTCTGTTGTGTGTATAGACGAAGCAAATATGGATTCTTGTAATTATTGTCTAATTGTATGAATTATTGACAATTTGTTAGCAGTTAGTCGAAAAGCGTATAGTCGATTAGATCATGGGATTTTTGATATCTATAATCTTAATATTTTATATAAAGAATGAGCATTCTTTTTACTAATTAATTAAATTGAATATAAAATCGAGCACTTTTAATTTTCTCGGTTTAATATGATTTCAATTTTGGTATGATTTTCAAATGTGAAAATAGATATTCCCTTTTTCGTGACAAATGGCGCTATGCAGCATTTAAATCAGATATCCTTACTCTTCATTTATTGAAAATAATGATGATTGAGGTTTATATGGTATGGTATTTTAATGTATTCCTATTTTTAAGACTTACTATAAAAACGATCTTGATTTGACTATATATTTTTTTACTGTTAATTTACAATTTTTTACTTATTATTATTTACATTTTTTTACCGTATAGGCGCAATTTGTATTCCTATAAGAATGACTATAAACTTAACTGTAAACTAAATTCATAAAACTTTTGTAATATGGGAATAATTTTCGATTATTTTAATGGGTATATTTTATAACAAGTAACAAATCTGATTTATGAAATGTATTTTTTGTATTAGAGCTCTCTACATTTAAAACACAGACTAAGAATAATGAGATCGAAGACTACATATTAGGTTGCTGCAAAACAACCGAAACGCCGGGAGTATGTATTATTAAAAATAATAAAATATTCGCGTAAGAATTCGAAAATATTAGTTTTACCGTTGCAATTAGGATTACATATATACAAATAACTATAATCTTTATTTCCACACGCATAATGATTAAGTACGTAAGCTATGTATTGTAATTAAAAGTTCCTTTCTTTTGTCAGATGTTGAGAATGCTGCAGAGATGCACTGCTGCAGGCTAGCATGGCCCTGCTGCTGTTGCTGGTGACAGTCGCGGGCGCAGCGAGCCTGGGAGAAGTGACGAGGAAGGATTCCGGAGACGTGTTCACTATACTTGGTTTGTATTGAAACATACACGTAATGGCTTATAGAATATTTGTTAGGATAAATAGATTTTATAGCTCTTAACAGTATTGAATACAGATAACTTTAATAATATGTAATCTAGATGTATTGAATAGAATTTCAATTATATATGAATAAAGATAATATACCTTTGAAAGATAAAGAACGGAAAAATAGGACAAAGTTTACTAGGATAGTTTGCTTGGAAATAAATTATTTTGGTGAATTAGATTTTTTTTGTACTGTAATGATTTCTTACGTATTTTTATCTTGTTTGACTTTTAATTTTAAGTGATTTTAACTAATTATATCACTGCTTAAAAATATAAACTACTTAATTCAGATCATGTAACTCGGTTTCATTAATGTACCTAAAGCTTTGAAAAAAAATGTTAATGTTCACATAATCTATGAACATAACAATTTTTGCAATTCAAATTGCATATTTAACATTTTTAATTTATATTCTGCCTTTTATTATGGTTTGTATAATACAATGCATTGCATAAGTGTACACAACATGAGTTAGAGAGTTAGAACTTCAGAGTTAACGATGTATGGTTTTCGATAGTATAATGTTAATGAAAGTTTTATAAAAAAAAATCATTAAATTCAGTACTTTTGTCAAAACTACAAATCTTTATACAGTTTCGATCATAAATATTTTATGTGATACCATTAAAACAATTATGTTTGGAAACTTGGAAACTATTTGTTTGTAGTTTGCGATTAAAACTCATGGTAAGGATACAGATATTACAGTATATAGATAGAGAAGGGGATCAGAGCAAAAAAACCTTTCACTTCGCTAGATTATTAAGAAAAACTATGAGTATATTTAAAAATGAAGTCGTTTTTGAACTAAGAACTTTCTCTGTATATAATTTTTAAATACAATGACATTGAAAATTTGAAATTAGCATCCATTTGATTAAGACAAACATAACTACAATACTTGTAGACATTATTTAAATAACACTAGTGCATATTATGAATAGTTTGTTCGACGTTATTTCTTAATAAATAAACTTTCTTCTTTAATATTAAAAATTAAGTGATATAAAGCTATAGAATTTCTTATATTTTGCTCATAACAGATATAAATGTTATATATTAAGTCTTTATGTAATTCAAAACTCGTTTATTATGTAAATGAATAATTTAAACATAATTAATTATGAATTATAATTTTTCAAGTCTGTTTGAGGATTATAACTGTATACCACAAGTTTATATTATAAAAAAAGGGGAATTACCAGTACCCAAAACCAGGGAAATTACCAGCCTCTAATTTTTCATTTATAAATCTTAAGATTAAAGAGATTTTTTTACGACATAGTTTATTAATTTATTTAGATATTCTTTTTTATGTTACGCTTTAAATGTTTGCACAATTTTCACTTTAAAGGTTCTGTAATATCTACCAGGTATCATACTAAATATTGAGTAAATATTTAACACCTGCAATTATATTCCAGATGGTGAATGTAGTGCTGCAAAATGCGCGGAACACGGAGCTGGAAAAAGCGTAGAAGACGTAGGATGCTCATGCGCATGTCCTCAAAGAGCTCCTCTATTCAGAGAGGATAGGGAATTGTGTGTTGATGATCTACCAGGTACTTACTACTTACTCTATACAGAAGCTATTGAACTTATTCACAAATTCTCATAACCTTACGTTACGTTTTACGACAATAGTCCTATCAATGCATACTCAATTCAGTCATAGCTAATAAAAAATGAGAACATAAAATCCAGTATGGATTTTTTTGAAATGACGTAATAAATTTGTATTATTAGTCTTTTGTAAGGTTTTTCATAATAGATTACTTCATCCTATAAATTAAGTTACAAAAATATATAAAAATAATAAAAAACAATGGTAGCGAGTATATGGAAATGCTAAATCTATGTTGATAGTATTTATTATGTATATAAATAATTAACAGGCGACGTATAACTGTATCGGGTTACTGGTTAGTTAAAACAGCGGCGTGTATGTATGTTTTAATTAAATTCCTTATCAGAGTCAAATAGATATGAGAAATAATTCGGTTATCGGCGAAATGATAAATATTTGTTAAAAAAATATACCATTTGCTTAATTAACGCAATGAGATAGCGTTTAACACGCATAGCTCAATTTTTGATAACCGTTAATTGTATGTATGGCTTTATAAGGCTTTATGCTATTATTGCTTGAGATTTTTATACTACAAAAAAATGACATACCTACTAGAAAATAGAAATTCTACTCTATAGGTATGTTATATTCATATTATCTAGGCTAAGTAAATATAAAGAAACATATATATTAATTTTGTTTCTTTTCTTTGTTTGCATCCTATATCGTAGAAAATTATCGAAAAATTAATTTAAAAAAAATATACTCAATTTTGAATACGGTTTTAATAATTTGTTTAGTATTTTTGAATACATTTGTTAGTGTACCGCCTTTCACGAATGTCAACTAAAACCGTCAAGTCACGTTCCGTTTCGTACATTTTGCTTCACATGTTTTCTTTGGCGTCATGCGAAGTCATTTTGAGATTATTAGCGTCGAATAAATGTATCAATGGAACTATTAAAGTATGAAAACTGTTTTAGAACGTCATTCAATTCATTTATTCTGGATGTTTCTAGAATTTCGACGTATAATCTTCTAGTAACCATTGATTTTAAGCCGATAAACTCGAATGGTAAATAGGTACGGACTTTATAGTTTTAATAAGCTGTTATTATATAAGTAGCTGAGTCATTTCTAGATATCTCTTAAAATATACAAAGACTAGATGGTTAGTGCTGACAATATATAAAGATTTAATTTTATTAACACCCATTAGAATATGTTATTTAGAAAGGATTTAAGAAACGATATATTTATTTGCTTAAAGCTTTCTCTATTCTAATCAATATACCTACTGACTTAAGATAAATATCGGTTTGCTTATATTTGAAACAGATGATACTAGTTTTTGTTCATAATTTAGTGGTTACTAGAGTCTATAAAGTATAAAAAATATAATAATTATGACTAGTTAGCATTATCAAATTATTTTAGTCCAAATTTCCTTCATATATCTTTGAAATAATGAAAAATATTCTGGTGTATATTTATGTATACAGGGTGAGTGGTGAATTAATATCGATACTTGAGGACGTGATATTTGACGATCATATATGACAAAATAAAAATGAATATAACATAAATATTAATAAACTTCTAAGCAAAGTTAACCAAAAGTTATGTAATTAATTACGCATCGTGTGAACACCCTACAGATTAGGTATACACACACACACACACACACACACGCGTGCGGCGGCGTGGTTTTGTATCAGCACGCCGCCGCACGCGTCCACACTTGGAACACTTGGAACGTGTCCACGCTTTATTTATTTATACGGAAATTTGGTCAAAAATTAAATGCCTATTTTTTTTTCATAATTCGAATGAGAATCATGTACCGAGTATTCTCCTTAAATATTGATAGTAATTCACCAGTCACCCTGTATATATATTTTTTATCCTTTCTAAGAGAGTATCGTCTTCATGTATGATACTCCTCAATGATCGTGGCATATCTTTGTTATCTGTTATTTTTTTACCATATAAAGTTTTTACATGTACCTACAGTTTATATCAAAATAACTGTTCAAACCTTCCTGGAAAATTGTTTTAACCTTAAATAAGTTATTGTTATATAAGTCGTATGAGTCCCAATAAATAAATAAGTAAAATTGATAAATATTTTTTTAAGTGCGAAGAATGAAAAACTATCGTCATTTAGTTTGACAGAACAAACTTGTGGTAAGAGTACAATACAAAAGCAACCTTAACAAATAAGTTTAAAGTTAGTTTTAAAGTTTAAGTAGCAAACACACAAACACGGATACATGAAACAATTTCATTAGTAAAATTAGTAAGTTGATTCAAAGCAAACATTTTTACATCATCGATTTAATTATGTTTTATTGTTGCTAATTTTTCGCCTTTTAAAGTATTTCATTTAAATGTTATGTCACGCTCATAGTTGGTAAATTTAATAAAATGTTAAACTGTTAACGTTAAATATTTCTATTGACTCTATAGATCAATTACTGAAAAACATTGACGATCTATGTTAGATAAAAAAAATCATTAGTTCAACAGCAAAGATGTAATGAAATAATTTCCAAATAATTAAACAATTGTTATTATATCCAGAATGTTCCCTCGCAACTTTCGGCACTGGTCTCGGCACACAGAGGATACCCTTCGTCTATCTCCCATTAAAAGGTCAAATAATCCATCCATCACGAGAAATTACTTTTCAAAGTAAGTATACTGTTAGATTAAAACATTTTGTATACTTGTTACGTATTACAATATACTTTTTTATTTAAAATAACATATATGTAAATGTAAAGATGTACAACAGTCTATGATTAAAATGTTTTTCATTTTATATAGATGTCAAGACTCCAATCTGCGCAGTTTCGGGAGCTCAGTTTTTAACACGAAAAGGATTCCTCGATCTTAGGAACACACTCGACGCTGATGTACCGTTTAATTTATTCCGTGATGAAGGGAGAACATTTCTTCAGGTAATAACAAAACGTCTAATGAGATCTAAGATTTTCGCGAGTAGTCATTTAAATGAATGAAACTAATATTTTCTGATTTACTACGCGTTTTTTTATTTTTGACTATAAACTACATACTCCCGATCACGGTTGCTGTAAAGTAGCCGGAACGTCGGGAGTATGTAATTTATAATCAAAAATAAATCGCGTAGTAAATCCGAAAATATTAGTTTCATTCATTTAAACAAAACGTCTAAGTCAAAAAAATAGCTCGTATGTACCCGCATCTCTAATGGTTTTCTTTTAAAAGAAGGCCATTTCCACGTCTAACCAAAATAGACCAGCAAAAAATCGAATCTTATGCATGTTGTAAATTTCAGTGGAGTGGTGAGGACGAAGTGCGCAAGCGCATGTCAGGTCGCATGATGGTGGTTAGGCTGCTGTGTCGTGATATATCTGCCGCAGCCTCCTCTCCGCTCGACCTTCGTGGAGTATTCACGCCGTGCGTAGCCTTCAGAGTCCAGGGGACGCCGCCCCGACATTCTAATAGTGAGTTTAAATCCAGGCTTTACATACATATACCTTATCCGACGCTATCGGAGTGAACTATTCTTTAACTAAACATGATGAACATATTGAGTCATTTAAAAGAATGTCATTTTGCTTATTTTCTCTTGTACAAATAAACAAATGAATCGATATAGAGATTAGAAACTATTCATTCAAAATCATGTACAAAGGATAGCGTATATTTAATGACATATAAGATTTGCTGTAATATTCATTGAAATGGAAACAATATTTTCGGATTCACTAGGCGTTAGAATTAATTTCAATGAGATGAGAATGGTTTCCCCGGGATTTGCACGTAGTAAATCCGATACTATTACTCTTTTTTAGCATATATTTTATTATAAAGTATTATTGGTTTTGTTACAGACATAACCGAAGTTCAGTTCGCATCGAACGCACAGACATCCGAAGCGTCAACAGCGACAGGTTTAACTGTATCAGAATACATCGCCATTGGTATCAGTTCCTTGCTTTTAGGTTTAATTTATGTAGCATCTGTATTTTTGTATCTACACATTAAAAAGAAAAGGAATGCGACGGCTAAAGAAAACGGCTTACGAAAACTTAAAGGATTGAAGAAGGATGGATTGACTATAACCGAAAGGGATATAATAAGGATAAACAATGAACGAATACAATCTTTACCAAATGTTATGGGACAAGATGATGGTGTTGTCAAAAAAAATCCACTATTGAGTGTATCACGGCAATTTGATAACAAAACGTTTCCAAGCGATCTTTCTGATTCAGATGATTTTGCGGATAATTTGCGAAAGGATGATGGTTCCTGTCATGTAAGTAATATAAATATTCTTATATACAAACTAGCTGACCCGAAAAACGTTGTTTTGCCATATAAAAAATAGGGGTTGGTGATAAAAAAGTATAAATTTTGGATTGTGTGTATTTTAATGCTACATTATAAAAAAATTAAAACGAAAAAATTCGTCTGAAAATAAAAAAAAGAAATGAAGGGTGAACAACCCTTACGACTTAGGGGTATGAAATATAGATGTTGACCGATTCTCAGACTTACTCAATATGCTCACAAAATTGCATGAAAAACGGTCCAGCCATTTCGGAGTTCTCTGTCTAACACCGCGACACGAGAATTTGATATATAATATAATCATAAAAATTTAACTAAAAAGACAAAACACTTTAATTATAGTCCCCGATTAATTCAATTAAATAATTTTTTTCAGAATCAAATAACATCAGCAGTAATACACAGGCATATAGACCTGAAATGTGATAATATAGATCATCATAGAGAAGAGAGTATTGAGAGATTACCGGACGAACATGTCAGTATTGTAGAAACTATAGATGACAGAGAAATAACACGACCAGTTGGAACCACACGTAGAAAACTTTACTTCAACCCAGCTTACTTTGAACCACAATTAATGGCTGTAAGTTCTTTGAAAACTCAATTAGCTAAGCACAAATTTATTGTTCTAATTATCATTGTAAAATATAAATAACAGAATTAATTCCTTCTTTCCAGGATCCCCCGCCTGCAGCTATTGAGTTTCTTTCAAAAATTCGAGAAGTAATATCAATCGCTAAACAAAAGATGGCAGCAAAACGTTTTCATCCAGTGCTGAACGAAATACCAGAAGAAGAAACATATCCTTCTAACGCAAACAGTATAGATATGTACCACGGCGTTGGAAGCCAACGAAGTGGTAGTCTTGTTAGTTTGAAAAGAGAAAATAGCAGAAAAAGATCAGCTAATTGTATGGGTTGCCCGGGATGTAAAACCAATTTAAGCAATGATATTCAAAATCTCGTTAAACAAAACGTAACAAAATCATGCACCAATTGCTTCAATGAGAAAGGAGAGAAACAAAACAGTATTCGAAAGTGGCTTGAAAACATCCCAAATGTTAAAAACTCACTTTTCTTTAATGATACTGAGACTCAAAACAATTTAACGCATTCATTACATGCTTTACCTAGTGAGGAGAGCCAGTGTAAATTACAAAAGCAAAATAGTTTCTCTCATGCAACGCATTCAACAGACAACCTAACGTCATACAGAACCACATCCCGTTCTGTTAGATCTGAGCCATCATTAAGAAACTATAATATACCTTTACCTGAATTTAATACAGAAGCCACTGAAAATAATAACTACCTAACTATGTCTCGAATAAATGAGTTAAAAAATATAGAATTCACCGAAAGAGAGTTAGAAATACAGAACGAAAGAGAAGTCTCGAGACAAAACATGAAGACATTGAAAAATAAAAGTGCTTTACCCGACATGGTCAACGAGGCTATAGCGCTTGATCATTTTTCAAAATCTCTATATAATGCCAGCAGTTCAGATGAGGAGAGATGTTCTAGGAATGCACCAGAAAAAAGCAATTCTGATAGTCCTTCTGGGAATGAATACGAAACTGATAGTCTTGAGAGGTCATCTCATAAAAGGAATAAAACAACGACTCTAGATTATCCTGAAGTACCCTCATCTCAAGCTTCTCCAAGTTTGAGTACTGCTCTGCCGTTAGAAGAAGAACTAACAATGAGAAACGCTGTTTATAAAACGTCTTCTAGTGGTAATAGTAATACTCCGTCGCCCGAAGCACATATTGACGTAGAAGAGAATCACTATGAGACTATAGACGTTAAGAAAACTGATAATATCGAAGACATTACGATTAAGCCTAATAATAATTATAGTTTAGTAAGCGAAGTATACGTTAATAATAACTACAATTTTGGTAGTGCCCCTACTTCACCTAGTGGTTCGGAATCTTCGATGGGTAATAGAAAATTGATTCAGTTTAACAATTCTGTAGCAAAACCTGGATGTCTAACCATAGAATTAAAAGATCCCCCTGAAAATTATATCAAAATTCACGAGTCTGATGGCTTTGAACCAGACACTTTGGATCGTAAGCATCTGAAACATAAAGAAAGTGTAGAGAGTATTCAATTAGGTCGACAAGAAAACTATGACAATTCCGAACAAAACGACAAAAAAATTAAACTGATAAGCAACGAAACATTCTGTAAAAATAACGGACAAAAAGAGAATAGTAACAAATTTAATAGTTTAAGAAATGACAACGAGCATTGTTTTGATCGCACTAAGTTATCGCCTAATGTGTACAGTGGTTCAAAATCTCTTGAAACTGCAACTGATGAAACGTGGGATGATAACGCAGGTTGGAGTTCTGAGGAAGGCAGAATATTAACTTTAGAGCTTAGACACTCGAAGCGTCAGCGACAATCCACGCCACCATCTATAAAGCAAATGAAAAATTTGGCTCGACCTGATATTTTGCCTCCTCTACCGCCAACTGAGGAGACTCCTATATACGAAAAGCCAATAATTCCTCCAAAGAGAGTTCCATACGGAAGCCCCGTATCACAAACCATCAATGAGAAACGACATTTATTTCCGCGTAATTCAATATCTTGTAGCTCATTAAAAATTGCAGGAACCGATGAGAGCATAAAATTGTGCGAAAATGATCAAAGACCAGGAAGTGGTCGTAATTGTAGGAGAGCATCAAGCAGTTGTAGCAGCGTTGTAAATACAAACACATTCATTAAAGGACAAAAAGTTGAGAGTAATAGAACAAAATTACGTCGCAGAAAAGGTTCCAACATAGAAGACTCCGGATATCTCAGCAGTGATTCAACATGTTCAAAGCAGATTCAAAGGAAAATAGTAATTGCGAAAATTGACAGTTGTAGTGACAGTGACGAAACAGAAGACGAAGCTAGAAGTGAATCAGGTGCAGAAAGTGTTGAAACACATTCCGTATATTTTGGTAATTGTCCTAGATTACGTAAAAATGAGGAGAGCATCAAAAACACAATTAAAACCACAAGGGACAGTAAACGCAAAGTTATAGTTAATAATGATGTAAATAATGAATGAAAAATGTAAAATAAAAAACAATATTATTATAGATAATAAGTAGTCAAATAAAATACCTCTTGCGTATTTATTAAATAATAAGAATTTTATAGAATATATAATAATTTATAATTATAATATTAAGTGTGTAAATTATGACACAATGGCCGGTCGTGCAATGCAATAATAGTGTAATTAGCTTTAAGATTTTTATACTAACTATAATAGGGCATAAAATGCAATTATATTTACTAAATATAATAATTCGTATTTCCTATTTAATATCATTATCTATTGTATAAGAATGATTTCGTGCAATAAAATCAATATAAATTATTATATGACAAAGTGTTCTAATATTATATTATATTGACTACTTAGATTAAGTAATTTAAATTGGAGGTTATTTTTTAGTTGTGTAAATAAAACTATAGACAATTTTATGATAATATGATTAAAATAGGTATTTTACGTAACTTAAAATATGTATATATAAAGCTGTGGAGTCAGGCGGCATATTAAAGCTTCCTAGTACCTGACAAATACATAGTTTGCTCCGGAGAAATTGCTCTCCGTTATTTGCAGAGCGAAATATTATACATTGTTAAATGTTGGGAATAACCAAATACCATGCTGTAATGATCTAAGAAAAAAAACAAGTAATCGAAGACATGCCTATGTCGTGAATTTAATTTTCACGTAGAATGAGTTTTAACTTTTATAATATTAAAAAATCTGGATCGTGTTTGATTAACATTTTCCCGCCAAAATAGTTTTCAAAATGGTGTATCAGTGAAATAGTAACAAGTTAAATCGTTGGTTAATGGTTTTTCTCAACATTGAAGGGCAAGGTTGTGGGTTATTTATATGTCAATTAGAATAACTTATTAATGAACTATAAGTTTTTTGTAGTTATTGCTGATGAATGGTGCTAATAGAAGGAATATTCGGGTATTGATATTTATACTTTTAGTGAATTTTATTGTTATGTTACAATTAATAAAACATATTTAATTTGTAAGGTAATAATAGGTTAAGTTATTGTTGAAATTATAATGCTCAATTTTTTTATAATTTTAGGTATTTATAAATATATTTCTATAAATGCTCTCTTTACAAACAGTATTTATTTAAAAATATATGTATTTATTTTAATACTAAATTATTTTATTTAGTTTACGAGCTAGTTAAATAATATTAAGAATATATTCTAGAACCATGATGTTAGAATAAAAAAATATTACAAAATTCAACTTAATTTATTACCCTGTACAATTCAATCATTGTTTTCATATGAAATGGACACGACATTGCACATTTATTAGAAACTGTTTCTTTGGTAACTATGCATCTTAAATATAAATTTAATCCCTTTTTATAACACATAAGTAATAAAATATATAATATCTATCCTTAAACATATGTAACATTACTTAAATGCTTTGACTTATTCTATAAAATTAATAATTAAAATTATATTTTAATATTAAATCATTTTTTTCCAAAGATATTATTCCAACATGGGAACTTCAAGTTCATTTTCATTCACTTGTTTTATCTGTTTCTCCGATTGCATTATTTTCAATAGTTCCTCTCTAAATCTATTATATTCATGTAATCCTAGTGCGGTAACATCAACTTTATTCTCTATTCGATCACCATTTCCTTTCATATTTTCCAAACATTTGAGTAAATATTTTTGTAATATGTCTATCTGTTTCACAATAGACATTGCATAGTCTCGATAATCATATGTATATACCTCTGTTTCTTCTTCAAAATCACTTAAATTATATTCATCTACTAATGGCTTAAGTTGTAAATTTGATGTGGTAACAATTATTCGGTGTGGTACTCTCTCATACATGTAGTGGATTAAAGCCAAGACTTGTGATGGTTGTCTGAAGAAAAAATATATTGCATATAAGTTCAAAACATTTAATAGAATTAGGATGAATTTTTCATTAATACACAGAAGTTAACTTAATATTCATATAATAATTTTAATTGATAATAATAATTAAAAGAAATATTTATAACTAAACAAATACCTTGTATATACTTGAATGTCTATGGTGTAATCTTGAAGGAGGTTTGTTTTGTAAACTACCATCACACCATGCAGTATATGGTAGGGTGATTCATTGTGAATTGCAACATTCTCAATATTAGGTAATGATCTCATTTTTAAGTAGTTCAGGAATATTTTTGAAGGATCAATACTCTCTTCATTAGAACTCTTAACATGCCTTAATTTTAAATCCACTTTTTGTGATGTCGCAATTACAGCTAACACTATGGATTTGTGATCTGGAAGGATTAGTTTTTCAATAGGTCATATATTTAGAAAATATATTTAGATAATGATGAAATATAAAATTTACATTTATAATGTCTGTCTAATTACCATTATATAATAAATAAGACTAAAATAGACTATATATTAAATAAGTTTATATCTAATTGAGTAGAATTTTTAGACGATAAATAGTATAGTTATATGTAAATGAAATCAGTTTATATTTATATACTTATTGAACAAACATATGCAGAGAATAAATCATCTTACATGTGTAATACAACTTTTTAAGTAATTAAATGTATTTTAAAAAAACATACCTATACCTATACTTTCACTATGGGATAAAATATCAATATCTTCCCCCATAGTATCCATGGCTGATATTGAAACACTTTTAAATGGCAGCAAGTAAATCTCGTCATTCTTTTTATATGATACAACAACATCAAAGTCCAATCTACTTAAAACATTATTTTTAAGCTCGTCCAAGTCAACAACTGCTATAACAATTGCCTCGGAATTACTCTCTATCCAAGAATCAATTTTCTTCAAATATGGTGCATCAGAAGTCTCTTTCAATAGAACTGTAGTATAATCTATTGAAGGCAAATTACTTCCATGAAGTAATACTACAACATTTTCCAATGACCTTAAAATTTAATAAAATTAAAAAATTATAAAAAATGCATCTATTTATACACTTATATTAATAATATTACTATTTACAGTAAATTTTCTTTTAAATACAGAAAACCAAAGAAATATCTTAGCTTGAAAGAAATATTGGAATTGGAACAAAACATTTTAAAGTAATAATAATATATGAAATTGATTTATACATATAAATATAATTATATAAGTAACTTTATTTTAAACCATGAGTAAAATATAAATTTATAAAAAAAAATTGTGTATACTAAATACATGAAATAGAAAAACTTACTCTGGATTTTTGTTGTATATTTTTAAAATTACTAGAATTTTTTTATTACATAATTTTACAATAGGATCTTTTGTCTCAACCCTTAGTGCACTGGATACCTGTAATCAAGATTATTTCGAATTTACTGTTAACTTAGACATTCCAATACTCAGAATACATACATGGTATTGTCAAAGGAGTTTTAATTAACATACCCTTTCTAAACTGAGGTTTCTGGCAGAATTACCTTGATCACATGCCTTTTGGTACAAAGAATATGAAGCCAATTGTCTTATTTTGACATACTCATCCAAAGTTTTTTCATTACATTTTGTTATAAACACTGCTTCATTAAATTTGGTGTTCAATTTACAGTTTAAAGACAACATATTATGTTCGGGTTCCGTTTCAGGTTGGGTCCTAGCAAAATTGTGTTCAGTAATATTAAAATTATCATCAAAAATCAAAGGTATAGCATCATGTTCCTGGATAATTTTGAGAGTTTCCTTCCCTGTGCAAGAACAATCTTCCATTGTGAAAGATTTAACATGTGGGATGTGTTTGTATATACCCATGTTTCCTTGACTTGATGATAATATAAAAATTTCATTAGGGCATGAAACTAGGTAAAATAATTGACATTTAGCATTCCTAATAATTCTTATATCGGAAGCATTGATAATTTTTATCGAAGATATCAATTCTCGTTGGAAATATTCTCGTACTTCACATTTCGAGCAGATAGTAATTTCTAACGGCCTCTGGTCTATAGGATGATTATCATACAATACAAAACAGTTTACGTCGGATAAAGCTGATGCAGGAAGCAAGTTTCTCAGAATATTCTGACAATTCATTTTAATAATGATTATAAAACTTGACACTTATTAAACTTAAAGATACAAAACTTCAAAAACTTATCTTTTCAAAATATAAAGCTTTAAAACAAAAATAACTGATAACAACGTCTTTTTATGCTTTGACATACTGTGACCTCTCAAACTTCAAAGTTGTGTTTCTGAAATTTTGACAACTCGAGATCGATTTCACGATACAACTTTGAACTGGCACGACATCCAACAAAAATAAAAATCTTTTCTAATCTACTAACGAGTGATAAAAATGTAATAGGAACAAATTATTGATTTTTAATAAAAAAATTTAACAATAAAAAAATAACAAAAATAATTATAGGTTTTAAAAGTCGAGTTCGTCATACTAAGTTTATTTAAGTTTATATCAAGTTTATATCTAAATAGTGACATAATGAAGAAATTATTTTCAAATTAAATCAAAATCTTTATTTGGACACACATCTTATGCAAACAATATAAGAACGCATATATATATATATAAAACAAAACATATGAAGATAAAGAATACAAAACAAAAATAAAGATGAGAATTAAACAAAACAATTTGTGATGCCCAAATTGGTAACCCACTCAGCATTTCTGTTGAAAATCATAGTAAATAGTAATGAGTTTCAACGCTGATATTCTGTGGCCTCCAATAACTACGTACGTCGCGTCGCAGGAAGTGAAATATGTGATATAATTATAAGAATTAAAAAAGAGGATATGTATATATGTATAATAGCTTCCGCCCGCGGTTTCGCCCGCGTGTAAGTTTTGGTAAAAAGTAGCTTATGTTCTTTTTCAGATTTCAGACTATCCATATCCACTTTTGTAACAAACGGCTCAGCATTTTAGCCGTGAAACAAACATTTACTCAGTTATAGTAAATTTATTTGAATATTAAGGATTATAATAAAGGAACGGTATAGATTTGGGTATAGCATTTGGTTAAAAGAGAGTAGATATGTTTAAAAAAAATATCTGTTTACAGTAGGTAATAAGTATAAGGTATGTATTCCATTAGGTGGCAGAAAGTTCCCAGGAAAATTTTGTGGTCCCTTATGTCCAAGAGACACTTCCCGGGGCCAGCGTCACGTTGTGTATCTACAAAAATATTTTAAAATGACCTAATTTAAAAACATTTTTGTACACAACGTTTGCTGTTTGCTTATTATTTGTTAAAATGTGGAGATTGTTTGGACTCGACACTCGCGAGCAGGCCACGTACATTTTTCCATGCGAAAAACAGTTTTTTCTCTAAATGGGCACCTGCTACTTTGTGTGTTTGCCCTTGCGCTTTGTTAATGGTCATTGTGTAGGCGGGTTTGAGGAGAAACTGGATGTGGATTGTAGTCTGTGCAAAATATCGTCAGACATATCATTTTGGTACTTTTCCCATAATATCTGAGGATTTGAAAGACCACACGTCGCTATGAGAAAGGCAAAAAGATCTCTCACCTTAGCTGCTGATCTACAATGTGCAGCCTCTTATAATGTCGAGTCCCAATGATTATCATTCTCTAACTTTCCTTATTATAGTTAATAAATTAATCAACTGTTAAATAAGTAAATCTACTGTTAATAAATTAATCTACTGTTAATAAATTAACCCACTATTAATAAATTAATTGACTGTTAATAAATTAATTGACTGTTAATAAGTAAATCTACTGTTAATAAATTAATTGACTGTTAATAAGTTAATCTACTGTTAATAAATTAACCCACTGTTAATAAATTAATTGACTGTTAATAAGTTAATCTACTGTTAATAAACTAACCCACTGTTAATAAATTAATTGACTGTTAATAAGTTAATCTACTGTTAATAAATTAACCCACTGTTAATAAGTTAATCTACTGTTAATAAATTAATTGACTGTTAATAAATTAATCTACTGTTAATAAATTAACCCACTGTTAATAAATCAATTGACTGTTAATAAATTAATCTACTGTTAATAAATTAATTGACTGTTAATAAGTTAATCTACTGTTAATAAATTAACCCACTGTTAATAAATTAATTGACTGTTAATAAGTTAATCTACTGTTAATAAATTAATTGACTGTTAATAAGTTAATCTACTGTTAATAAATTAATTGACTGTTAATAAATTAATTGACTGTTAATAAATTAATTGACTGTTAATAAGTTAATCTACTGTTAACAAATTAACCCACTGTTAATAAATTAATTGACTGTTAATAAGTTAATCTACTGTTAATAAATTAATTGACTGTTAATAGGTTAATCTACTGTTAATAAATTAATTGACTGTTAATAAGTTAATCTACTGTTAATAAATTAATTGACTGTTAATAAGTTAATCTACTGTTAATAAATTAACCCACTGTTAATAAATTAATCGACTGTTAATAAATTTATCCACTGTTTACTAATAAGCTAATTAAAACTTATTCACTTGTTCGTAGAAGTTAGAAAGACAAATGACAATATTTAATAATAACTAGAAGACCTGGCGAACTTCGTATCGCCCTATAATCAAGAAATATCTATTACGTTTTTTTATTTATATTTTTGGAGTTTACCTGTAAGCCATAAATCTCCTTGTTTTGAAGTGCGACAGAATGATTGACATATTAGTTAGTTGTCAAATCTAATGTCAAAAAAAACGTTTGTATGGGAAATAGAAAAGGGCTGTTTTTATGGTTTTCCCAGTAATGAATCAATTTTTTTCACCTTTTATACCTTCCCTGAACCTCCACGAACATTTCAAGACAAAGATAAGATAAATCCGTTCGGCTGTTCTCGAGTTTTAGCGAGACTAAGGAACAGCAATCCATTTTTATATACATATATAGAAGATTAAATGGCGAAAAAATTATATGAACAGTTTACCGACCGATCAGAGAGACCCGTTTCATTAGTTAGTTGTCAAATCTAATATCAAGAAAAGCGTTTGTAAAAAAACAACTACTAATAAATTAAAAAAACATTGTGCAGCGGACAAAACTGTGAATCTAAACCATTCCCAGATCCCCTTGAACACACACAAAAAATTTCATCAAAATCGGTCCAGTCGTTTGAGAAAATTTCGGTGACATACACACTCACAGAAGAGTAATATATAAATATATAATTTCATATTAATTACATAAATATAAGAATATAAAATAATATAATTTTATATAGACTGGTGGTTTAAAGCAAATCACGATCCACAACCAACGCTAATAAGCAATTATGCTATAGTTGCTGCGAGTACCGGAGCACCACCAGCTTGCCTACGAGCCATTACAGTCAGGTAAGCCTTACAAGCGACAAAGTGCTAAACGACATAGTGTGTAAATATATATGTTTATTGTGATTGCAATTGAATATCCATTAAATACAGTTTAAATTTGTTTCTAAAAGTATTAATCGTTTTTAGGTTACGAAGAGGCGGAAGCAAGTTATTTCAGCACTTCGTCGCAGTGTAAATAAAACTACTTCGAAAGGCAGCAGTCTTTTGTGTTCGCATAATCAACATGAAGGACGAGGCTCATGTTTCATGAGTTAGTCTTTGCTCACTTGCCCACTTTAATTTATAGTAAAGGTATGGAGGCATTTTGTACTTTACTATACCAAACTGTCTACAATAGACCATCTTTAACATTTTTGCAGAGTTCAGAAATGGGGTGACATGTGAGCGTGGTGGAACGTTAAAGTAATATCGAGCACAGGCGTTTTGAACCTTCTTGATAAGATTCTTGGTACGCACAAGTAACCTCGGCCCTATTACAATGTCAGCATAATTTAATTTTGACAGAACGAGTGCCTCACATAAATCTACTCTCACATTTGGTTTTAAATATTTTCTGATCCGATATAATAGTTTTAATCGATAAAAACAATTACGAACAGTATGCATAATGTATTTATCAAATCGTAAATTTTCGTCTAATATAATTCCTAGTTTTCGTGTTTCGTGTTTTGCAGTTTAATATTTGGATTTAAATCTGTAATTTTCCGTACTTGTGTTGGCGTTCTCAAGTTCATGTATTTAGTTTTCTTTGGGTTTAAGATTAAACAATTAGAATTTGATCATTCAGTAATTCTCTTTAAAACGTCATTAAGCTTATTTAACGCTATATTTAGTCCCATCCTCAAGGGTCACTTCTACAACCTGTGATCTATTTTTGAGATAGCTGTCAAACCATCTAATAGTGTCTGTACTAAATCCGTTATAATCTTTTAATCTTAAACAATACTTAAATCAGCATTGTTATAATTATATTATTTAATTGAATAAATATCTATATTCCAATAAACTATACAAAAAAAATATATTTTTAATGTCATTTATAATCATTACGTATTGATGTACATATGTAGTATAACAGAAACGTAAACTCTGAGTGGCCAGATTATAGTTATAACAGATTTTTTTCGGATATTGAAATTGCAATGCTTATGTAATCGTCCATTTAAACGACCAACATACTCATACGAAAAATATGTTTCCAAGATAGTAGACCTTTACACAGAATACTAGCTTACAATATCAATTAGAACTTTAATGTGTCACGGCTACTTTCTCTCTTGTACAATATAACCATTACAATTGAAACATTATAACATGTTATTATTCTTAAAAATTTTAAAATAAGTTTTATTGATTAACCTTTAATACTTTTGTCTATCGCATGTTGCATTACAGGTGGATGTGGAG